GAAGGGGGCGCTTATTCGAGGGGAGCTCTTATTATAAATTTTGGCCGAAATGAGGGGCGCCTATTCGAGGGGGAGGGGGGCGCTAATTCGAGGATTTAAGGTAAATCTTTTGTACAGTCACTAAGAGTTACTGCCATTCAGGCAGTTAGAAGAGTCTTCGTTATTTTTACGAAGGATCTGAAGGCTGCTGTGTTGTTCCTAAATGTTTCTTTTTTATATATATATAAGGTAGGAACCTTTCTTTGAAGATCCTCGGTGATGCAGACCATTTCTCAAGTTGCTTTTTTCTTACTTATTCTATGGTACTTTTTAACGAGAGATCTGCACATTGTGAGAAAGAAATTTGATAGTAATTTTTGGTATCACCCAGTTGCCGCTATCTGCAACACTGAGATCCTCAAAGCTACCAATAAAGTTTTTGTGTATCCGTGAATGAAGATAGCAAATTGCCCCATTATGCCATGCAAAGATCAAAGTTAGCGATGACGGCGCGGGCGAGCCTTCAAGGTATTTCAAAAACGTTTTGTGAAAGGAAACTGTCCCGCAGTGATTGAGCTTAGCTAAATTTATTTTATGGGGTTTAATCAAAGGTTGGGTTCTTTCAATGAACTTGTAAAAATGAAGTTTTCAATGACTGTAAAGTACGAGATAAAAAAAACTCAGCCTGCGTCTTGTCGCCAGGCATTTCCACCTGTTTAGCTCCCAAATCAATAAGCGCGAAGCCTGAAGCGAGTGCTGTCATTCGGTGACGTCATCGTTCGAGGTAATGGTTTGGCTCCTCCCGGCCAAACGAATCTAATAAAACACCGATAAAACACCAGGGAATCCAGTCCAATAGGTACGAATTCACTACACGAGTAGTCGATTACAAATTTTCTTCCACAACTTGTGCTGCCTTTTCGCTTCTTGTTCATTCGCGCTACTATATTCGGCGACCAGGCGGTACATGTTAAAACTGCAAAACAGTCCGTCTTCTTTCGTTTTTCTCACGAAAGTGTCGATCCGTAAAGCGTAAAGAGCATAGCCCTTGTTCGTCCCGGATCCTTTAGCGTTTCGGAAGCATCGCTTTTTCACACGAATAACTTGCGCTCGCAGTCAAAGAAGAACAACCTCACAATATGGTAGCGGGGAGTGGCCTAATGTGACAGGGACCTGTTCCTGTCGTCAACAGTTAAATTAGTAAAGATGCTGAAGTAGTTTTAATACATTTGCAATTAAACAAGTTTTTGTCTAGAAAGTTCGAACAAGTTCTTAAGCACGCTTCTCGAAATCGCTATGGAAAGGATGTATGACACATCCCCTTCCCTCGGGGTGCTAGGAAACATCTAGCATTTGCTCATGGATTTGCGCCTGATTGACTGATAATTGTTCTTGTGAATTATGTGCAAAAAGCAGTCAGCCATACAAAGAGATAAACATAACTGGCATAACTTGACAAGAAAACATAGCGCAAGTTGCAGGGGTAAACGGGTATGGGGTAGGGGAGGCGAACGGGGAAGGGGTTCCCCCCCCCATCTCCCACGATCCCCTCGTTCCATCCCCGCTCTCCCTCCCTCTCTCTCTCTTTCCATCCACTTCCCTCTCGTACACAGGCTAATAAAACAGGCTAGGTGTTTAGTAAGTAATTACGACACCAAAATCACCATATAAATGACATCGGTTTTCTAACAGCTTTCTAATTAGATAAGGGAATCCACCTTCCTTTCCTGTCATGATCAAAGACTATGTACATCTTTTCTTTCTCTGATCCCCTTTTGAGAAATCAGTGTGAAATTGTTATTGCGTCTCATCGCAAAGGTCAGGCCCCAACGTGTTCAATCAACTATTGAAATTATTTCGCTTTAAGCGTTGCATAAAAATGTTAATTCGACGCAGTTTGTTGTCATTTCCCAGCAAATTCACGCATTAATAAGACCAACAACCAGACAATGTTTCACGTTCCACGCATTTCAGTTCCATTTAACTCTGTTTGAAAATTTTCTCAGCCAGTAAGAGAGCCAGATACGTGATACATAAATTTCAAGTTGAATTATCGAATTTCCAAATGCACTTCTCTTTGAAGGTTCAGGAAATTTCTGAAATTTTTTTCGGTCACGCCACTTTGAATTTTTTTTTGTTTTTAGTGGTTCAAAAATATTTTAATTGTCGTTTTGTGGCTTTCTATACATTGTTTTAACTCTGGATAAATTTCACACAATATTGTGCGACTATTTTATTTCTCCTTGGGATACTTATCACCACATTTATATTTTGCGTGATTAACTGTTTATTTGTTTGTACGTGTTGTTTGTTTTGCCAGTATCATTGTAGTCGTGACATTTGGTGACTCAAACATAGCGTCTGCGCGTTCGCACAGGTTTACCAAACGACATGTTCGTTATGGCAAAGGTACACAAGATGAACAAGACCCCGTAGCTAGCTCTCCGCCTCGCTACGCCTTTTCCTTGAGAGGTAAGAGAAGTTTTCTTTTATTCTAGACTTAAAACTGCTCTGTCTTTGCCTACAGGGGCTTTAGAATTGTGTTAATACAGCTTGTGTTGTCTCGCGCTACGCTCAGTCCCCAGGTTGTAATTAAGCTTATATTTAGCTTACTGACACAACAAGCTAGGACAAATGCCGTTGTCGTCGATTCGCCGCATGATAAACTGTATTAATCTTTTTGTAAATAACTTTGCACTGCAGTTCTCTGCGTGTTTGGCAAGCGACGGCAATTGCCGGGAACTTTGCATTCCATTTATTTACGTTTCTTCCAAACTACTTCGCGCATAATTCGCTGATGTGATCACATCCGATTATAAACAGCTCATTAATGCAAGTACCTTGTATCTCTAAATGCCACCTGCACACGAACAAAAACTTATTCATTCGTTTTTATAGCGTTTTACTTCGAACGAAAGTGTTTCTTCCGGTTTCTGGGTTTCTTTCGTATGGAAACATACAAATACAAAGGAATTTTGAAGGGACAATAGCTATTCCTGTCTGATGGACAAAGGAAAAAACAATGATTTCAAAGACGAAAAGCTGTGTGATGAATTAACAAATTATCTATGTCTTCTAACTCAAGTTTTCTCTCCTGCGAGTCTCCTTCAGACGTACATTTACCGATACCATATCATTTCACAAGATATATAATATTTCAGATTTTTTTAACCTGTATGTACCTTGGTAACGCCTTCCTCAAGCTTGGTGGTGAAAAGGTCACGAGTCGCTCTGAAACTGGAAAAGTTAAAATGGTAAACGCTTTGTTTCTCGTCTAGAAACAGCCAAGCCTACGCAACAACCGTTAGTGATTATCAGTTAAATTTCTGGGGTCAGATTTTATAAACATTTTCATGACGTTTCTTTCAGACAGATCTTCTCATAATGTTGTTTGCTTTTGGTATAAAAGTTAAAGTCAAACCGCCTTTAAGTGAATCTATCCCCCTGTCAGGGTCGATTAGCGAATGTCAATTATTCTTTTCGTTTATAGTTCATTCATTCTTTAATACAACACCTAAAGCAGGAAATAACCTAGCGGTACGTGTTCTCAAAAGATTAGGCTCGTGAGTTCTATTCACTAAAATTCACCCACGGTTTAGGACCAAGTCACAAAACACGTGCGGTAAGTCATAAGACTACAAACATTTGAACATGTGAACGGCATATTGCTTCAAAACACGCTTGTAGCAGCAGGTATGTGGAAGCATTTGTGGAAAATCTCCAATAGCTTGGGGTTTCTTTAGCTGAAAAACCTAGAAAAAATTTTAGTGGAGGTTATAAAATATTACACAACAGTACACCAGGGTCACAGTTCTTTGAGAGCCTATTAACGGTAATCCGCAGGAAGGAAATTCATTGGGTTTGTTTAAAAGTGAGCGTGCTGTTTTTTACTGCTTATTCATATGTTTTTGTTTGAGATGAGTCACTCTGAGTCAAAAGAGAAGGGCAAATAATCACTAGACGCCATTGTTTTAAACTTGCAAAATGAACTGTGATCCCTAAGTCGATGCGACAATTGAGACTGGGTTAGCTTAATCTCTCTTAAGGGACACAGTCTATGTTCTCAATAACGCACGCCATAAGCAAGGCAGATGTTTTCAGTTGGCACGGAGGGCAATCGAAAGTCGATGTTCTTGGTTTTTTTGGCATGCTTTCATTCCTTTAATGGGTTTCAACATTTAAAAATCGACGTTTTTGATGAAGCGAAGAGTGTGGTTTTTGTGTGGTTTTTGAACACCGCCATCTCGAACTAACAAGGAAAACGAGAAAGAGTTCGGTTTCAGATGGCGGGCATTTGACATAATCGACAGTAAGTAACTGAAAAACATAATCAAGGGAAATATTTTTACTTCTTTTTCTTCTTTTATACAATTTTGAGTTCACACACACGTTTTAACGAGCGCTTGCGCCCCTAGGTGTCGCGTGGTTTAATAAAGTATTGTATTGTATCATTGTATTGTATTGAGTTGAAAATAACCGAGTTCGTTGAATGTGGCGTGAAATACCACGTTTACAGCCAATCACCGTGCGAGCAGCATATAAAAGAAAGTTCAAGCAACCACGTATTATTTTGTTTATTATATAAACATATTAATAACGACGTTTTTGAAGATTTTCCGAAGGTTTTCGACCACTTTGCTCAAAAAGTTGTCCGAAGGCCACACGAACGTGTACGAACATTTTCCAGAAATTTCCGAAAATTAACGAAGATTCCCAAAGGAAGACTTCCGAGGAAGTTCTGAAGATGTTTTTATCATACACTCAACAAATTTAAGATGATATCAATCATAACGTCATCGAAATCATCACAGTGAAATTATCGTAATTTTACTTACACACTGTGTTTTATTACAGATTTTCTCGGGGCTGGAAATCCTTCAGTTGTAAAACACTGCAGTTTATATAAATAAAGTACAGTAAAAGAAAGTACACTGTAAGTAAAGGGACCTTTGATATTTACGTTCATACAAAAACAGCCCGGACTAGCTTGAGACCTGAAGACTTCTGAATGATTCAACATCACAAAAACTGGACAACATTATTTTTTTGCATTTCCTTTTGTCTATCTAAACTTGGAAAAGGTAAAGTCGGCGGCGGTAAAGAAGCTAGTAATTTCTGAGATAGTTTCAAAACTTTTGCATAAGTGGTATTTTTGTTCGGAATTTCTCATGGCAGGTACTGCAATTTCTGTAAAAGATTGTTCCTCAAATGTTCGCATTCTGCAATCTTACGATACCTGCATTGCAAACTATTTTATTGATTTATTGGCATGGAAAGTGTACTTACTGCCGTTGACATTTTGGTGTCATTCACAGTTCGGTAGACCTTGTAAACTACCTAGTTGTGGACAAGTCATTTAGCCATTATTATATGGCTTGTTCTTGTAGCCGATATAACGCGCACTCTGATTGGCTAATTTTAGGGCATTATCTCACGTAATGCCCACGGGCTGATTACGGGCTTGTAAAAACAAAGCAAAAAGCCATATAATAAACAACTTATTAACCTCGAACTTTCGGTCTTCACGGGAAAATCTCAAACCTCGACCTTGTCGTATTGACCTCACTCTCGGTTAATAAGTAGTTAACACTCCATATATTCATTACGCAAGGGTGATAGTACAACATTCAATGCCAATAGTTCGTGAAGCATTTCTTTCTAGTTTTTGTCTCTCCCTAAATTCTCTTTATTTTTTTCTTTATATTTTCCAAGTGGTAAATTTGAGCTAATGTTATAGCAGTCGTTCCGTTGAACTTCCTCATGAGCATCAAATTAAACAGGGTTAGTCTTCGTTTGTTTCTTGTCAAGAGTTTTTGTTATAACGTATGATGTTCGTCTCTATCTCGAATAAGTAGAATTCTACTACAGTAGTATGCTAATACAAACGCTGTAATCTGATTGGCTGAGCCATTGCACACTATCAGCCATTAGTGTTCAGTGGCTTGGTGTGGTCGAAAAAAAACGTTTCCTCGAAGGAAAATTCAGTTAGAATTCTACTAAAACAATTAGATTATTCGCTCTCGATTGCTATGAGGTGATCGTTGATTCGGCCTTCGGCCTCATCAACCATCACCTCATGGAAATCTCGAGCTCATAATCTAATTGTTAATTATAATCCGTCAACTATTTTCGCTAGCGCGCGATTGTCTAAACGCATCACGTGGCTAAATATTCCCCAGCTAAAACTGGGGCATATCCGAGTGATATTCCCTAATTTTCAAAACTGCGCGTGTTACGAAAAATATTTGAAGGATGATAAACACAATACCCACCATTGGGCACGAAAATATGCTCGGATATTTGTCCTTGGACATTATCTTTTCATCAAAGCTCACAGTTTTCCTCGAGCTTCGCTCTCGGAAAACTGTTCGCTTCTCGGAACAGATAATGACCGCGGACAAATATCCGAGCATTGGCAGTTTCATCGTGTGTACTAAAATCATGTCGAACATTAAACCACTGATAAAATATTACCAGAAGCTGGACGGTTAAAATGAATTGTCTTTTACCGCTACATGTATATAAATACTTTTTGCTTAAAATTAAGTCGTTTGTAAGGTGGTCTTCATCACTTTTCGTTTAAATATAAATTTAATTATGGGATATTTTTTGGGCAATTCATTAATTTGTACCCTTTTTATTTACCAGATTTTTAAGTCTGGAAAAGCGTTCTCAAACGACATAAAAAGCAAGAAACAGCATTGATAAGCGAAAGAGAAAACATCTTGTAGATTAAGAAATTCTGAATTTAACATGTTTAACAAGCAACGTTATCTTGAGCCGACCGAACGAATTTGTTATTTTGTTCGAAGCGAAACTTATTTCAGCGGAATGCTGTAGTTTATTGTGTTCCTCAATCGCGCGGAAAACAAACACCTGTGTTTAAGCCAATGAGATCGGTTTTCGCGCCAAAGTATCAGTTCTACTGAACTTTAATTGTTGCCTTAGTTTATATTCCGTTCCTGATCGCATAAATTAGGCAGGCTTGCATATGATTTGCGATTATTATTCTGCTGTCACGGCTTCTCGCTGGTTCTTCATTTGTAAATACAAACTGTTCAATGAAGTTTACACTAATCTAATGGATGACTGGTATTTTGATGAGATTAAGGACGTTAAAATGAACCCGTTTTAACATCAACGAACCCGACTTTCTTATGTGGACGTGTATCGTTCGTTTAAACCTTCGTAGATGAGATAAAACACTTTGTTATCTCTGTATCACAAACGAATAACATGGCGACATTGGACCTAAAAACGGATCCAAGACCTTCTACTAATGGCGAACCGGCATTCACGCTTTGTACATTTTGTAATAACTCGACAAACGGATTTGAGAAGCGATTATTTGCGACGACACAACCCAAGGGACCGTTTTTCCCGGTGCTAGCCGAGGTGCAAGGCAGGAGAACCACACTGGACGATCTCGGTCGAGCGGTTGTGTGTGTGGCATGTTTCCACCATCTTTTACGACAGTGGAGCAGCTTTGAGCGAAGAGGTGTACCTTTACGAAAGCGAGAGTACAATATCATTTCAGGTATGGGTTTCATGTGATTATGCATGTACAAAATGGCTCCGTCGAAACATTGCGGGGTTTTTTTTTATAGTTGAAAGAGTTTCGTTGTCAGGTATTCTGTGAATTGCGCGATTACAGGTTCCGTCTACTCGCAACTGGACGCCTTTGTTTGTAGTCGTTGACCGCAGCTTAAATAATCGATAGTCAAGAAGTATTGTACTCTTTCTGTTGCTGTGGTTGTATGCGTCATTCTGTGCGATACCATATTTACAGACCGCCTTGACTACAAACTTGATTTTACGATCTGCTTAGGAGATATTTCTCGCCAGTTATCGACCTTCCGAAGTATTATTAAATTTTCAAAAACCTGGCTACTTTAAGATCTGTTGTACAAGTGTTTGGATAGAATGAAATAATTTGTCTGAAATCAAGCGTTAAAACACTCACAATGAGCTAATTCACGTGGGAAAAAATCAAGGCTTTGATTAATTTGAGTTGTGCTTCTTTACTTTTGGATTTTGTTTACCAATTTTGTAATTCATGCGCTATTGACTTTTACTTTGCAAACAAATTCTTAAAAACGTTCATTTCACAAAGCTTTCGCTTTCTTCAAGGATGTCAGACAAGATGCAATATTAAAATCCATATTTGACTTGACTTTTTGTTTAACAAACTTAGCACTTTAAGTGACACTCAGTGCCCGTAGTTTGTAGTTTGTTTTTAATTCATTTCTTGAAGTTACCGCAACTGAAAACCAGCATCAAACACAGAAAGAAAAAAAATTGTTCAAATCTGCTTCTTATTATTTGCATAATTTCCCAGTTGTGAAAAATTGGAAAACCGAATTCAATTAAGGCATTTAATTTTGTGCACGAGTGACTTTTTACTAGCATGTTCTACATGCATATTATATTAGCGGTGACCCATGAAATTTGTTTAAACATTAATTTGTTCGAAATGATGATTCTCCCTATCGATTTCCACACATATGTTCTTATGTTTATTATGAGAAAATTATGGTTGATCAAGATAGATCCTTACCTGATGCGCTTGCCCACACAAGGGAAGTTTATCTCGTGGCCAGGCCTGGATTGTTTTAAAGCCGGACTAACGCGCGCTAATCTAGGATTACATTTAATCGAGGTCTAATCCTGGATTAGCTGCACCCTAGACTAATCCAGGCCTTCTTAAGCAAACGATTTTAAGGTAATTCAAGCTGTAGCTACTGTCAAGCTAATAGGTGTGAAGAAAATCACGAGTTTAACACGTCTGTCAAGATTAGAAATGAAAACAGCAATTTCATGGCATCATAGGACGTGGGAGTCTAAGAAATGCCTCACACAAGGTGCTCCTCGCAGCGAATACCTCGCGCAGTAGTTCTGGGGTTATTTAAGCTCAACTGTGATTGGCTTAGAATTCCTACGTCACAGAAATCGTTTTCTGGCTCGGGTTCGCAGACGTTATTTTTCGGCGAAACCAAGTGACAGCCGGAAATACGTCTGCGTTCGCAGGCTACCGGTGAGGGGGGTTGGGGTGAGCAGAGAACGAGGAGCATTTTGCTCGAATTGTTTTTCATTTTCTTTTTTCTTTAGCTAAACATGTTAAAGCGCACGTTTTAACTTCTATCCAAATCAGATGAATATATCTGGCACTAAAAACTTGATTTAAACGTCAAGAAATATTCGAAATTGTCCGCCTTCAAAGGGGGAGAGGCGGGGTTAACATGAATGTAAGTGAAATTTTAGGAAGTTTAAAGAGGGATTAAAAGGAGAAAAAAAAGTTTTGGGCACCCCAGGTTGGTGGACAACTGTTTGGTGTACGTCTACTAATTTTAACTTCAAATTCTAATTTTAAAACAATATCAAATCTTCAAAATTTCCTATTTCGATAAATTGTATTAATACTGTGAGAAAACCTATTTATCCCCAACTATACCCAAAATTCACCAAAAAATTTACAAAACAGCCCAAAGCGTAGATATGTGGGATGGGCAGAGAGATTTTTGACTGCTTGAAACGTGAACGAGATATTTGCGTTAAAACCATAATACCCAGCCAAAACGTACGGCCTTCACGTTAACCCCTGCCTTAAGGCCCACGGATATGCTAGTTCATCCCGGAGTATCACATAAAATCTTAGAGATCTGACAAATTTTAGACTGAATAATCATGAATTTACAACTGCGCCAGCTTTAAAAGGATTTCAAGGAGCTTCCGCGCTAGTGTTATTACTAGTGAGGGTGAGACTGGGAGAACTTGAAGGCCCTTGTAAAAACCCTCGCCTAGGCTAGGTGTGACAGTAACAGTTTAACAATGTAGTGCTTTATGAGGCTAAGTTAACTGGCGCACGAGATTCCTATTTTTTGATATTTTTAGTGACGCTTTCAGGGATGACAGACAAAAACCAATGATATTAAGGTAGCTCTAGGTAAAAAGAAATCGTTTTTGTCTTCAAGTTCAACGTGCGTGTCATGGTGATCTATCACCAAGTGGTCAACTATGACAGAACCAATCTGATTGGCCGGTTTTGCAGTAGACCACGATGAGTGTTAACTAAATAATGTTCTTCTTGATTCAAAATACATGCCTTTGACACTCTGTGTTACGGACATGTGGAAGAAATTAGAGAAACAAGATCTTTGTGTCACATACAAATTCCCCTACTCCATACATTTCCATTTGGTGATCAGATCGTTTTCTCTTTCATCATAGTGAATAGGTGGAAATGGTTATGAAATGTGGCAAAGTTCTTTGTTGCATATTTTTCTCATCTATTTTGTGTGTTGACCCTGCACAAAACCTGGGAAATTACAAAAGGTGGTTATGTGTGTTCATGCAACTAACCTTTGCTATTATGTAATTCAGGCGTAGTCTATGAGCATAAAACAAAAGATATGCAGGGTCAGCGACCTTCCAACGTAAATCTTAGCCTGTTTGTTTGCTTCTTTGATGTTTACCGGGTTTCTTACCTATTTCACTCTATTAACTACGCTTTCATGTTCCATTTTTCTTGGGAGAAATTAGGTGTTAAAAATTCTTGCTATTACGAACACCCGACTTCACACATTTGTTCTAAAAAGATTCTAAAAGGTTTGCCCTAAGCTCACTCGAAAATAATTTACATAAAAATTAAAACAACCAAATTTGTTGAAAAGTGCACGATATTTTTGTGAACTCATTTGATGCGTGAGTCAAGTTTCCTTCCCGAAATAACTATCTTACTTAACTAAGAGATATTAATTAACATTTCATACGTCAAACTAGGACTTCGCTTTAAGCCTTTCTGTTAATTTTTTTTAAGTATCTATCAAAGTCACAAATCGATTTCGCACTTAAGGACACAAAACGTGCAATCGTTTTGTTATTGCTCATTATTCTGTGTAACAGTTTGATTCCAAGCCCCTTAGGAGTGGAAAAGTATTTTTTCTTGTGCTATATTTGACGTTCCGTAACAGACCCAGATAACGGCTTTTTCCTACCGGAGTGGACGGCAGCAATAGAACGTTAGTGTGAAGTAGGGTGTAAGCGAGACAAACTAATATCAATGCCAGAACCCGAAACTCGAGTCTCAGCTCGAATCCTGACTTGGTATTTAGGTATCCTTGGTTTAAGTAGGTCAAGAGTGGGAAAGAAAATTGTTAAAAAGGCCTGAATTTCACTGACTAGATCAGTCATTTAATGCAACAGGCTCTTTAATTACGGAAAACATAATGCATTGGACGCAAATTACGATGAGTCGACAGAAAGTCTAGTCCATGCGATCATCATGATTAAACAATCCTGTTCAAGACATGAGTTTCTTTATCATGTATATTTTATCGGTTTTTTTTCCCTGAAACGTTTTTTTTTTCGTTCCCTGATGTGTTGTTATATCACGGGTTGAAACGATTTTGCAGCATTTTTTCTTGTCTTGAGAACACATTTCATACGATCTATTTCACTTCATAGCTGCCTTTCGCAGAATGTTAAATTATTCAGTGTTAAAAGTATGACATCTTGAAGGTATCATTTCCCGATGTTAAGCAATTCTTCAGTACAGAACATCTTCATTGGAACATGCAAATGACTGGCGGTATTTCCTTGTCTTACTGTGACACACAATGATGTTTTGACGCATTATGTTTGTCAGTTCTCGTATTCGTCCAATTCCATTTCGCTTTGTGACTGTTATTCATGCCAGCAGCTGTCGAAATGTTTTGGTGTTATTTTAGACTTCCGAAGTGCAGATGACTTACCTTGAATAGTTCAGTAAACTTCTGAGAATGGGCTTAAGATTCATCAATATCAACGGCTGCAAGAAAACAGAATTTCAGTTTTAGTCGGTAAGTTAACACTAAATCATCGCTCCTTCAAAAATTACAAAGTTTGGAATTGCCAAAGTTGAAATGGAAATCCAACACTTAACCATTGTTTAATAATTTACATATCTTGTAGTCCTTCGTTCCTAATCTTGACAAAATGTTCAAGCTTTTCGAAACTTTTGAAACTGTCGACAGTTTTTTTCCTACACACAATATTAGAACAGTTATTAAGTTTTCTGAATGTCGAAGCCTTCTTAGAACAAGATGTATTTATCTCGATTTCTACTTCAGCGTTTCTGCAAACGTTTTCCGCATGAGTTTCTGCCAGGTTTGCCTCAAAGTTCAAAACTAACGAGAGAGTCGGATTTATTTTGTATAATCGAACGAACTACTTGCATGATTTTTCAGCACTGGAAAGTAAAACCTCTTCAAAAGACACATTCGTATTCCTTCATATTTTAAACATAATTTAGGTTAATATATACGGAGAGTGCTTGTTGCGGAACATGTAATTTAAATGTTGGTGTTTTCCTCAACACTTGAAATTGATAAGTTTTATTGGCCTACATTTAAATGACACTTTTGTCAAGTTTTGGGCCCTGTGTTCTAAGAGAACGGGAACTTGAGAACTTTTGCATCTTGCGGTAGCTCAAAAAGGGCGAGAACGCCATGTATAATTTATTTGGCTTCATGGTTATTTCAGACTAATCATAGTTTATGAAATAGGTGTTGGTGCTAAAATATTTTTCTCACGATAAGAGTTGGTTTGTCGGCAAAAACCTAAGAATTCGTCAGAAAACAAAAACATATTCAACAACCGTACGAAGGAGGCTAAAGTCTGCTAAGGTCTGCTGAAGTCTGCTTGCTACGGGTGATCAAGTGTTATTCGGATCCTGTCAAGGTTTTCGTGCATTATGTACGGTGAACACTAAACACCTGAACAAACTTTTAGAAGCAAATTCAGGAAGCCTAAATATGGTCATGTTAAACCTGGTTTTTGGCTAAATATAGGTCTCACTTGAGACTCTAGAAAACACGACGCCACTACCCGAAGCCTGAATCGTATACTAGTTTTATACTGTAACCAAATCTTGCAGACAGCCTGAGGTAACCAACGTTTAGAGGTGGTCAAACAACTGTCACCGTTGAAACTTCGGTCAATTTTCTTAAACACCATCTTACATTCGTTTAAACAATGATCTACAATGGTTCATCGATTCAACTTAGTGCCCCGGGCACAAATTTACTTTTCGTAGCTCAGGGAAGGGTGCTTATTGGAAAGGGGGCGCTCTTCAATATAAACATCAGAATGTGGTAAGTGAAGAATTGTAGCAATAGGGTTCTCCTAGTCATAACAACGTTCTCTTGTTTATTCCAAGTTTACACGCTCGATATTACGTTCAGAGAAAAAAAGTACACTACATGATTCCTTTGTCTAGTCAGGTTAATGGTCGGCATAAGAATAAAGGAGGCACAATTCAAATGTAACTAGAGTGCGATTCGATTTATTTCGGATACACACGCCGACACCTGTTTCAACGTACATTAATGAACATAAGTACTCAGCTTTTAAAAAAGACCTTCGAGAAAGTCACAACTTAGACCGACCAAATATGCATGAACAATTCAACATCTAAAAGAGGGGCAGAGGGAAGCTGGAACCTACTTTATGACATGCTACTAATCATAAAGGAAAAGAGACCAACTTTTAACACACGAGCGGACTCCATTCGTTCAAAACTATTTAAATACCTGGCATTTTTCTTGACTCTTTAACACCTAAACTAATGTATAATATTCCTTTTTAAGTGTAGTAATAAAGGTATAAATACACGCAATGTGATACCGGAATTTTTGGCAATTGCGCTAATAGAAAGCACCCTTAATTACTGCTTACAATTCTAATCTTTAACTTCCTTCATTTCAGACGATCGTGTTAACAACTATCAAGTCCGGCGTGAAGAGGAGATACGTAAAGAAACTGAACATAAGATAAAAGAAATCCAGGATCGCGAGGAAAGAATTCGACTTGAAGCTGAGGAAAGGATCGAAAAATATCGACAGCGTCAAGCGGAGATTCGACGGGAGGCTGAGAAAAAGCTGCTCGAGGAACAGGCCAAAGCTGAGGAGTTAAAAAAGAAGACTTCGTCGAAGCTTAAGGAGGAGCATCAGCGAGAGGAAGAGTTAAGACGACAGGCGGAGGAACGCATTCGGGAGGAAAAGGAGAAACGAGAATACATTCGACAAGAAGCGGAAAGACTTCTGCGGGAAGAGAAGTTATTGGAAGCCCAGAGGAGTAATCAGGATTCCGTATCTTCAGTTCCTGAGATTATTACAAGGTATAGGACAGAAGTCATCATCCCATCTCCTGAGAGGGAAAACGCTCCTTTGAAGGAAATTACAGATCAAACGGAACCTGAAGACATGGAGGGTGCTACTGAAAAAGAACGGCAAGCTAGGGGCCAGAGGCGCAAGATGATGGTGTATGATCCGGAGACGGGTTGCTATAGGAAAGCTCAAGACGACGATAAGGAAAATACTTTGGTTGAGACTAAAACTGAGAAAGTGGAGTATCGTTTTCATCTTCGTTCAGACGAAAAACCTCGTAAAACCACAGAAGCTAAAGATGCTTCGTCTAAACCTGACAAGGCTTCAGAAGATGTCACGGTTTCGATGGAAGCAGTAGAGTATAGTACGGAACAGACTATTGTGTTGAATGGCAAAGAAAGGTCAAGAAGCCAAGGCCGTGAAGGCGACGCCAGAGGTGAAGAGGAGGACATTAAGAGAGCTGGCGACATTATGAAAGCAAAGTTTGAAGAGGGTCGAAACCGATTCGAGCAGGAACCCGTTGAAAGGAAACGGAGTGACTCGTCCAGGCATAGAACGACAAGATCAACATCTGATGATTCCTTGGAAGAGAAGATCAAAGAAATGGAGAAGAGAAGAGAGCGGTTGCTTCTACGAGGACTGTCATCAGAAGCAATGGAAATCCAAGGTCGGAGACCCTCTGAGGAAAAGAAGGATCTTTCTCCAAAAGTCGAGAGTCCGAGAGATGGGTCGAAGAGTCCAGTGGATGAGACTACGAAGAGGCAAAGAAGTCGAAGCGAACGTAACAAACGGCGTTTAACAGCCGAGGAGTTGAGTTTAAAGAGGTCTCCTGGAAGCGAAGAGGATTTATCCACTCGCACGTCGGGCGCAGATGCCGGGAAAGTTCCAAAGACAGATCCACAAATTGAAGAGAGGCAAACAGAAACGAGGAAGGAAAGTTTCACGTTCCAGTTGAAAAAAGGCGATAAACCAGAGATACCAGACGAAGAGGTTTTCATGATGACACAAGTGAAACCAGTTGAAGCTTCCGCAGACCTGATGAACTGGGATGATTCAACAGATGGGTCCGTCCCTGAGAAGGAACCGACTCCTAGTCCAAGGTTCAGGAAGAGGGCAGACAGCGCTGAAGGAGAGATGTTCCCCAGACCTATGAAGCTTGTTGAGATCGAGGCCCCCATTACAGTTACTCAGAAAGGAGAAGTGGAGAGTGAACCAGTTTTGACAGCAAACCTTCTTGACCTTGATGAGGTAAGGAATTCTCCTTAAGAAGTCATTTTCCCTATAGATATCCCGTACACTGTAAGTTTATAATGGCAGTCCCCACCCTGGACAATTCGAAACTTCTTTTGGGTTTTCTGTTAGTAACGAGTTCAACTGGGCATGTTATGAGAATTTAGGACTAGAACTCAACATAGACACTTTGACTTGAAACCAAATTCTATTAGGGTGGATTTCGTAGTAGACCATCTTCGTAGTTGTGAACGAGTTATACCACAATAACGTTGTCTTTTACTTCTCTTTGTACATCGCTGGAAATTTCTTTGTTCACATTCAAGAAAATGTACCCTGGTTTTCAAAACTAGTTGGTAAGTTCTCTACTTGCATTTGCTTGCAAACTCTGTCACACTCATTTCTGACACGTTTTGTGCACGTACAGAGAATTAAAAGACAAAATAAGCAGATTCAATGATCATAAAGATCGTAAACGGAAGGTTCCAGCATTATGCAGAAGAAATGCTCTTTACATGTTAAGTAGGTATGATTCCTGGTCACTTTTCGTTATTTTTCAACGTTTCAAGTATTTCTACCAAAAGTATACCCTGGTTTTGGGTTAATGCCGATGAAACTCGCAGTTCCTGGAAGATTGTCGAGTTCAAGCCATTTACACCTCCGAGGTTTGCTTTTGTCCAATAAAATGCAGTTTCAATTAACGTCAGTTAGTTTAAAACAATAAGAGTCTAAATTTGATGCATTTTTAATCCCTTACTGGTATCGGTTTATCTACATAACCGTTGAGCTTATGTCACTACATACGTTTACATCTGTCGAATCCTTAACTCTACATCGTAGCAGTACAGTTGTAAATTGTGCTGTCTTTGTGCAATCTTCTTTATACACCAGCCTACAAGCATGTCATCCGCGCCAGCCATCGAGCCCATCTTAACATGGGACAGCCGAACTCGTGCTAGCAACAACGCAGAGGAAGATCGAAGACGCCGAGAGATCGAACACGAAGAGAGAAAGCGAAGGATCGAGGAAAACCAGCGACGAGCGGCCAAAGAACTCAAGGCTAAGAAACAATCCGAAAGCGACGCAAAGCCACAGAGCGACGAACCTGTCCGAGAAATGACAATGAAGGAGAAGAGGCGTTCGTTAGTGGACATGTGGGAATCGTTCTCTGAGCCACAAACGAATGTCATGTCGTTTGAAGAGGACGAAGACATGCCTGAGAGCAGTACAACCATAATACGAGAAAAAAGGACTGTTTTGGTGAGTGAAAATGAACGTAATATGTTAATTTTGTTTTAATTACTTGAATCGAAGTTGTTTGTGGCTGAAACAAAAGTTGTAAAATTCGCCAAGGAAGTATAGTTTGAATGATAAGGCCTGACATGGAGCAAACCTGAGATTTTTCAAAACTTTACAAACTTTTCAAAAGAGCAAGAATTTTGTTTTACTTTTCATCATAAGCAACGCACTTTGTATAATGCAGTATAGTATATTTCTTTTGTCCTAATTTCAAACTTTTTGCGGTCTCTTCTTCTTTTGTTTTCTTACTCCACAATTAAGTTTGCGTCGTAAAATCTGACGGACAGCTTGTAGGCGATTTGGTATTGATGAGTTGGTAACATTATACCACAACAAATTTGAGAGGGTCTTTAAAGACCGTTAATTTTACCCTGCACTGATCAACGTTCAATTTCTCGTTTAAACATTACAGAATCAACCAATTGGTTATCTGCAAACGGGCTAGCACTTCGTAATTACTAATATTTTTGCAATGACGAAGACTAGAACAACTATTTGACCACTTCACAGGTTTTAAGTCAACGCAGATGAAAATAAGGCTTAGTTTTGCAGCTCGAAATATTTGTCTGGTTTGTTCCTAAGTAGCCTAGATTTTTGTCTATAGTCTAGGTTTTCCCTAGAGACCCAAACATAAACAAACTGCAAAATACTTTAACTGCGTTACTACCATCCAAAAAATTCTAGATTCACGTTTTCATGGCAGACATAAATAATTGATATTTGCATGGCAACTTAACAGGAAAGAGTCTTGTTTTAGTCTCGTAAATGACTTCTTGGGAAATAAGAATATGTGGACCCGTGTGAACTCATTCCTTTTGAACGAAGCTTTTCAGTGTCAGACATTCCGTAACCAGGTCAATGTTTTGGAATATTTCAATTTATGCCGAAGTATTTACAAAGCATAAAATTATGTTTATCTTTGTCAGTCTTAACTGTTAAGAGTGTTTGTATTGTTTGACATTTTTCCATCTCATATTTGGAACTATTAAAAGCCGATCAGTTATGTTCTTCAGTCGACTTTTTGCCGCTTTGATTCCACACATTTTCCAGGCTTTAAAGTTCTGTGCATATTCAAATTCTACCTTCTTTGTTTACCGATTATATTGACTAATACACGGTCTGGAGACTGCTTAAGAACTTGATTGTCTATTCAAATCAACGTCAAGTTTTTGAAGTAATTTAGATGGCCTTCTGTGTTACACTGCTAGTTAATTTTTCTCTAGTGGTCTCTCAAGCAATAATTGATATCACCTGGTCTACTCGCTTGTATTCCTTGAGAGTCTCTCGTGCAAATTTACATAGCAAGCATGTTTATGGGCTTTAACAGTGCAGAACGTGCACTTCGTTAGCTGAGCATTTGTGGCCGATCGCTGACCGAACGTAATTGTTAATGTAGTCGACAAATATTCCATTTTAGTTCGATCCTTTGGAAGATAAAGACAACGAAGAAGCCATGGAGGTCGGTGATATCGAGGTTATCACCTCGACAACACCGTCTGTTGAAGCAGAGACGAATACAAACCTAACCGAGGAAGAACAGCGATGGGAAAGCGCTGGACATTTCCAGCCAGGGCGACTTCAGAAAACTGTATTTCACAACCTGTCTGAGACGCAACCCGAGCAACCTAAAGCTAAGCCTAGAACGAAAGTCGGAAGTCGCTACGACTGGATGAAAGGAGAGACTTCGGACGATCAAGCTGCTTTGGTACCCACGAAACTTAAAATCGATTGGCAGAACAGCGCGGCAGCCGATGAAAAATTAAGGTGAGAAAACTTAGATTTCTTTCCTCGGGCAATTTGAGGCAAATTCGTTCCGTGTTGAACCGAAAATGCAGCATATAAGGTGGTGATCACATGTTCAATCGCATCTAATTTTTTTTTTCTCGTTTTGATTTTACTGTAGCTTCCTTGCCAATTGTTTTGCTTTACTGCATCGCTAGGTATTACTCGCCATCTTTGTCTTGAAAAGATTTCGAGGCCAATATATATCCCAAAAAACAGTCGGTCAATTCAAACGATACGTAGTGTTAGTTCAGGGATTAAAAGCGTGAATTCCTGAGTCGAGTTGAGGTTTTGAGTTTCACACCTTTATAAAGAATAAGTAGCTAAAATATCAACGTCTAAAACGTGCCAAACGGAGGAAAAAGTTGCTAAAAATAAACCTAACGGTTGCATGAGTGTTTAATATAAACTATTTTAATGCGAGGGTCTTTTAACCTCCTTAGAGGATAATTACCATAAAATCATTGAACTAATATAGTGAAGTTTTATCTCATATCAGTCGTTCTGCAGAGTATTGTAAATTTTTCGCGTTACTTTGTGCCACGGTCTTTAACAGCTGTGTGTTGACAGCTACATTTTTTTTTTTTCTGTCCAGTGGCCGGTAATTATTGCTGCGAGAGTAAGAGAGTTATCCGCGAATTGTCACGTCGTCTGTCACGCTGTTTGTTGTCACGCAGTCGTTGACCAAAACACAGGCTGCCTACGACTAACACGTGACATTATGCTGTTGGCGATTGCGTTACAATTTTAGCCGTTTACATGCTTCGAAAATTGCTCTAAATGCCATGTGTAGAAAATAATTTAAATAAAAGTGACTTGCCTTATGTTTGTATTGCGTTATTTTGATATCACTGTGTTCCTGGAGGCGGTTTAAGTCCACAGAGATACCATAATAACGCAGTAAAAACATAAGGTAAGCCACTTTTATTTAAATTATGTTCTACGCGTAGCATTAAGAGCAATTTTCGAAGCATTCTCATACGTTGTCTTGTAAACGGCTAAAATTGTAACGCAATCACCAACAGCATATTGTCACATATTAATCGTATTCAGCGTCTGGGCCGCCTGTGACCAAACTCGCCCAAATGACCGTTTTGCAGTCTCAAATAAGCAACTCGTTTTCCCCAGGCTGCAAACAGAACTGCCTATTTTTTTCTTCTTTTTTTGTACCGTGACAACATTGTGATGACATGATTCAAACATTGCTATGAGGTTAAAATAACAGTTAAACATTGAATTTATTTCGATCTAAAAAGAGATATTACGCAATTTTGATCACTATTCAATAGACAGTTTCACAGTTGTCTGCTCAGTGACCTGGCCTTTGAATGGCAGCAAGGCTGGCGTTGACCTTGTTTTGATACAGACCTTACTGTTTTTGTTGTGTAAATCAAGTTGTTTTAATGCTAACTAGTTTGCATTTAAATGAGAAAAGCAGAGAGGTTTGTATCAAAGCAAGATCACATTCAGCCTCGCTGCCATTCAAAGGCCAGGTAACTAAGTACACAGCTATAAAATGGCCTACTGTATTAACTTTCTGCTTTATGCCATGATCACAACGAAACTCCGTTTTTTTTTTCCAAAGTTAATCTTATTATAAATTTAATTGATTTTCTTTTACCTTTTTGCAGCAACGGTCAAGCTAAAGAACGTTCACCTGAGGTAACTTTAGCTTCTTGTCTGTTTGTGTTCATACAGTGAACGAATTTGATCATCTCAGTTATTTTATGTGTTAGATAACCTACCTCGATACCAGGAGGATTGGTAACCTGCGAGCTAGCTCTCTTAAGTAGAGCTTGTCCCAAGGCAAGAGTTTTAGGGGTGGGCTGGGAGAAAATAAAGGGAAACGCAAAGGGAGGGGATTCCCCACTGAATACTCGTGGGCTAGTGCAAGTGAAATACAAGCAATGCAAGTCAAGTTATAGCAGTTTTGTTGACAGCAGATTCACATACAAACATTTTGCATCAAGTTTGTACCTCTTTGAAAAAAATGGCGGCAAAATCTGCGGACTGCATGCTTATTCAATTATCAACGTTGTTCACACTTTTTTCTTTTTTCCACTCCAGTTATGGGAACGAGAAACCCTGGAAAAAGGTGTTTCCATTTCCTGGTGCAAAAGGCCTTTTACGAGTTGCCTTGTGCCTCTGTTTCAAAACGAGTCCTAGTGCAAAGCCTTTCATATCAAAATGAGTTTGATTTACGTGAAAATGAACGTGAAGTTGGAACACATTTTCAAAGGAATTGTTTCGCTCGAAGACTCGTTTTCACAAAGACAAATGGTAACTATGACGTATTAGTGATATTTATCTTTTGCTTGCCCTTTAGCCAATCCAGATGGAGATCAAAACTGAGAGCCGTGATGTTAAAAGTAGCAGCGAGAGCGAAACTGAAAGTGAAAAGGAGAATGATAGTGAAAGTGAAAGTAAAAGCGAAGAAGAGAGAGTGCCTCGAGTGGACACAGATGAAGTTTACAAACTAACCGAAGAGGAGAAGCAGTGGGAACTTGCAGGGCATTTCCAGCCCAAAAAGCTGAATATAGCCCTCATGGCTGGCTTTCAACAAGCACCGGCTGATGTAGAAGAGAAACCAGCGCCTAAGAGAACACAGACGACCTCTGTGTCAGCTAAATTGAAAGTTAAGGAACCCGAGAAGGAAGAGCTTGAAATTGAAGATATTAGGTAAGAGCTTCTTTTGTTATGAGTGCAAGTGTTTATGGTTACATTTGAACTACCAGGCCATAGTTATTAGAGAGAAATGGTCATGAAACCCGATTAACGTCTTTGTTGTATGTTTTTGTTCGCTTTTTTCACATTGACCGTGCACAAAACACAATAGTTGTTTACATCAGACTGACGAACTAACCAATAGAAACGCTCTGGTTACGTACTTCATGCGTCGTGTATGAGCGCAAAAAAGAAAATTGTGCACAGTCGTAGACCTTCCAACATAAATCTAGCTGTCTTTGTTTGCTCCTTTGATGTTTGTAGGGCTTCGTAACCATTCCCCTCTATTAACTATTGGCGGGCTAAAAAAAAATTTAAATCTGAAAGAGCCTCATTATATGAATAGGTTGTGCATGAGAAAAACCAAATAGGACGCAACAGCCAATGGAAAAGTTAAAGCGAAATTAAAATGGTTTACATTCTATGGTCAGAGTTTGTATTTGTATTTCTATCAGTGCAAGAAAAAAAACGTACCAAGTTTTATATTTTGTTTTCTTTGCAGTCCTGTGAGCGAAGTAAAGACCGAAACAGAGGTAAGGAAAAGCCCAACTGTGTATTTGGATTGTGTCATGCATGTCATGATCATTCAATTAAAGAAGGGATTCTATGGTAACGCTTTCACCTTGTGTAGCTGTAACGTAGCCAGATGCTGCATAAATGTGCGCTAGCGCCGGCTGTCTCCTTGCTGCTTAGTAACGCAAGAGAGCAAATAAAATAAATCAGCATGTGCCATTTGCGCTTGAGCGTTAGACAAAGCACGATACTCTTAAACATATCTTACAACAACAAAACAGACTACAAGTTACTCTTTGACTCCATAGTGAGTCAGTCTGGTAGTTGATGCCCCTTACTATTCTATTTGCAATACGAGTTTGCACCTTTCGGCTGCTAGTAATAAACACATACGTTCCAGACACTTGACTTCACAAAAAGAAAACGATTTTACGCTTACTGCCTACATCGTTCACTGTGCGCTGTGTGCATACTTTCGTCACGGCTCAATATCTAGCATGGCTTTGTACCAATCAGTTCACTCTTTTCCTTGATGTGTCTACATTGTGCGCCTGCTTAATGCATGGCTCAATATCTTGCATGGCTTTGCACCAATCAGCTTACTCTTTGCCTTGTTCTGCATGCGCTGTGCACTGCCTAATGCGTGGCTCAATATCTAGCATGGCTGTTCACCATTCAACTACTCTCTCTCTTCTTGTGCATGCGCTGTGCACCTGCTTACTGCATGGCTCAATATCTTGCATGGCTGTGCACCAATTAACCTTTGCCCTTGTTCTGCATGTGCTGTGCGCCTGCTTACTGCATGACTCAATATCTTCCATGGCTGTGCACCAATCAACTTTTCCCCTTGTTCTGCATGCGCTGTGCACCTGCTTACAGTATGACTTAATATCTAGCATGGCTGTGCACCAGTCATCTTACTCTTATCCTTGCTCTGTTGGCTGTAGGCCTGCTTACTATATTGTTCTGCACCTTAATCAGTTTAGCCTTTGCCGTGCTCTTCTTTCGCTATGCATCTAATTCCTGCATGGCTCAATATCTGGCATGGTTATCCCTGGGGGAGCAGAAAACATACGCACTACATGGATAGCTAAACTATATTCATCACTTGTAGCCTGACACCTCAGTGCTTTACACCTACACGTACGAAGAGGAAAGTGAAGATGACGAAATTCCTGGATGGAGGAAAGTGGAGGAGCAAAGAAGACAACAAGAAAGGGAAGAGATTGAAAGAGCAAAATTAGAAGAAAAAAGACGATTGGAACGTGAGGCCTTGGAGGAAGATCAACAAGAGGAAGGCGATTCAAGCGATGATGAATTTGAAGCGAAAGTGCGCACAAAGGAGATAAGAAGGATAAATCCCAATCTCTTGGGTCAGTTTTTGAGAGAGCCAGCGAAAGAACCAGAAAAGCCTCACAAGTCGATGAAACCTAAGGAGCAGAAAGTTGACAGAGCCAGTGTCCAGGTGTCCGAATCAGCACCTGTTGTCGACAGCCATTTCGATGAAATAGAAAAAGAACGAGAAGTGGAGGATGAATACGAAGAGAAAGTTAAGAGTAAGCAAATTAGAAAGTTGAAGCTTGATACCTTGCCTTTCCTGCAAACACAGGAACAAGATACTGTCCCTGTACCACACAGGGACGTTCCTCGTGCGTCTAGAATTGCTGTCCAAGAAGAACTTTATATTCAGAATGTGCAGCCTACCAACGTGGAATCAGCGCCGAGAAACGAGTGGGAAGAGGAACAAGATGAGGTATTCATTTGTCGTACCACGCATGCTACGGTCCGTAACAATACATACGAACACAATCATTCGTTTACGTTAAGCTGCGTGAAGATAACCGCCTTTCATTACGTGTAGTGTTTTCTCATAATTCTTAGATTCGCCCATAATTATCTTTGAGGAGCCGGATTACAAAGGCATGGCAATGACGATTCGTTGTAGTTTATGCAACAAAAGTCTGCTTACCTTATAATCGTGTTGTTCTAAATGTATCACTGTATCACAAAGCACTTTTCAGTAACGACGAAACCTCTAAACAACGTGCAACTTTCGCAGCCAGAACACTCGGCAACTACACAAGGACAATTACTCACGGTATACCAGATATTGCCATGATCGATTACAAAATACTATTGATACATATATGCCATGACTACCTCATCTACATCTACATCTACATGAGATAGGGTTCTGCAAAGTAATACACCTATCACTTCAAGACTTAAGGATACAAAGGGGCCGGGCGAGATCAATCTCTTAATAATATAAGGTACCGGAGTAAATTAACAGTTTAATGTAAAAAACAAAAAAAAAACGTCCTTATGTTTAGTCATTTTGACATGCTGGTGTGAAAGTTGTTAAGGTTATCAAACTGACATTATCTAACAAATGTTTAATTGTTTTCGTTTCAGCCCGAAATCAATGCTTATGGAGCAACCACCCTGGAGAGGTATGACGATGAAAGTGAAGACGATGATGATGTCCCTGAGTGGCGCAAAATGGAAGAAAGACGAAAACAACAGGAGCAGGAAGAAATTGCACGTGCAAGATTGGAAGAGCAAAGACGGCTGGAACGAGAAGCTCAGGAAGCCGAAGAAGAGGACGACACGGATTCCGTCGATGATGAATTCGAAGCAAAGGTTCGAACGAAAGAGATTCGAAGAATTAATCCCAATCTACTGGTTCAATTCATGAGTGAAAACAGAGAAGAGGTTCCCATCACAAGAAGGCCCAAGAAAGAAACTTTAGAAACTCAACGAGTGTTGGTAACAGAGACGGCACCCAGGAATGAAAACGATCTTGAAGATTCCAAGGGAAAAGATGTTGATGATGATGACGATGATGAATTTGAGCTGAAAGTGAAAAAAGGTCAGGTCAATAAGCTGGTTCTTGACAACAGTCCTTTCTTGCAACAGCAAAAGAGAGAAGAAGTCCCAGTGGCCAGAACACGGTCAGATGCAGAAAAGAACAGGAAGGAATCCAAAAAGGAATCAAGGACATCTGTGGTTCAAGAAGATGAACTTGTTCAGGTTGTCCATGATGAGGTCGTTGAATCCCAACCTGACATGATTTTCCAAGGAGGAGAGGAAGATGAAGGATACGAAGTGAAAATTAAATCGAAGGATGTCAGGAGATTGAGCCAAAATCAGTTCTTCTTCCTTCGAAAGCAAGAGGAAGAAGAGCGAAAGAGACTTCAAGAAGAGGAACGCAGGCGTATCGAGCGTGAGGAGCGGGAATTACTCAAAAAAGAGGAAGAGCGTCGAAGACGACTGGAAGCCGAGGCCCGGGCCAGGGAAGAAGAAAGGATCCGTCGAGAAGAGGAGACGAGAAAGAGGGAAGAAGAGGAGAGAGCTCGTAAGGAAGAAGAAAAGAGGCGTCGGCTTGAGGAAGCTGAACGACTCAGACAAGAAGAGGAAGAGCGGTTACGAAAGGAGGAGGAAGAAGAGCTGATGCGTTTGGAAGAAATGCGTAGGCAGAAACAAGCAGCAAAATTGAAATTCGAATCTGGTTCCTTCGATGGTGTTCCTGTCAGCCGCACTGAGAATGATATCTACAGCGTGGGGCGTCTTGATACAAACAAGCTGTTGCAGTTCCAGCGGGGTCCGAGGGAAGAACCAGAGCTGAAGTCAAGGCTGCGGGTGGAGCAGAAGAAGACAGAAGAATACAAGTTACCGGAACCGGAAGTCGAAACTGTCCAGATGGCGTCTGTTGATTTGATTGAAAGCAGTCCTTACGAGGAGGATTTAGAAAGGCGTCCAACAGAGGACGAGATGTACGAAGAAAAGCGAAAGAGTGTGGGTAAGCTTGACAGGGAGTGGTATATAAAGCAACAACAAAGACAAGCGGAAGAAAACGAGCGACGAGCTAAAGAATTAGAAGAACGGAGACTAAGAGAAGAGCGGAATGAAATGTTGAGAATTAAGGGCGAGGGTCCACAGCGACGGGAAGATGATGATTCCAGAGGATTGCTTGTCACGGAAGAAGGCTTAAATATGGACACAGATGAAGCAGAAAGCGACAAACCCAAGAATGTTGGAAAGCTAAACTACCAACAGTTCTCCATGTTCCAGAAGGAAGGATCAGTCGTTCCAAAAGCGCAACCACGCAAGAGGGCCCCAGAGGTGGTGCAAGAAGTTGTAAGTGTTCAAAGTCAGCAGGATGTGGAGAGTGCGCCTGTTAATATGGACGAGTCTGATGCTTACCGCGGAGGGCCCCATATGACGCAGGAAGACTCTGACTACGAGAAACGGATCAACACAGGCAAGCGACTTGATGTAGATAGGTTCCTGAATGCCAGGTCGCAAGAGGCTGTCGAGAGAACGGAACGTGCGAAACGAATGGCAGAGGAGAGGAAGCGGCAGGAGGAAGAAGAGCTGGCCAAGTTGAGATTCGAGGAACGCAGGAGGATGGAAGCGGAGGAGGGCTCGGACTATGTTGAAGAAAGTGGTGGTAGTCAGGTAAGAGATTTCAGGAGCAAATCAGCGTCTTCAACAGAGTCAGATTCTGAAAGGCACAGAAGAATACCCATCGAAAGAGAACCATCAAGACTCAAAGATTCTGATGCAGACACAGACAGAATGGACAAAGGTGTTAGTGTTGGTCGTTTGCCACAAGAACTTCGTTCGCAATTTGAGGGGGAAAAAAAGAGAGCCGATTCAGGTTCTCGTCGAAAGTCAAACAAAACCAAAGGCTCAAGATCATCTTCAAAGAACTCGATGGAAAGTGCTCACAGTACCTCTACTGATAGTGTGTCAGATGTCCCACATGATAAGGAGATGAACGGTGGTGTTAGCCCCAAGGACCAGTCACTGGAGAAGAAATATTCTATAGACAGGTAAATACCACAAAATGATGAATATGGTAAGTCACCGTTTCACATTTTCAAACACATGACTGATCATCGGAATTATGTACACAATTTAAATGAGCTCAGTCACTGCATTTTGAGCTATTTTGGCCACGTAGAAAATAAGCTTAAAATGGAAGGAAACTTGAAAGTAGCAGTTTATTAAGAACGAAAAACACCAGAGAGATAATAATAAACCATAAAGAAACAAGCATACTGAAGGATGCAGAAGATTGACACGGATTACAAACGACGAACTTGAAAAATTTAGGCCATGTTCTTCCTTTTCAGAATGCGCAAAGTGACGTAGTTCCTTTAAGCAGCTGTGAAAAAGTCTAGAAAATTCAGTCTTGAATGAGATGTTTACCATTTAGCCAAAACCCTTGGTAATTTCGGCTGGAACACAAACGGAACAGTTATTTATTGAGGCTGGAAATTTTGGACTCTTGGGATCATAAATCACTGAATCATGAACTATTTCGTTTGTTTCGGTTGTTGATTTGTGAAAACGCTCTCAAGTGGCAAACGCCCATTGTCTGTCATTTGTGGCCTGCAGTGCAGGCGTTATTTTGGAACGGAACGCCCGATAAACTAGAGTTTGAAACCACCATCTTGGATTGTAATCGATGCCGCCATCTTGGATTGTCATTGGATTCTTGACCAGTAGAGGGTTGGCGCAGAGGATGGGGGAGAGGGGAAATCCAAGATGGCGGCCTAATACAAAAATGTGCACTCGCGCGCCCAAAATACGCCTGCAGGCAAGCCATGTAAAACAAACTTTCTTTATGGAGTTAATTTGAAAGGTAATAAAAGAGAATGATTGTTGGTAGGATCCAACTTGTGTTCTACAGTAAAACGCTGTCAAAATGGTGAGAGGTAAACTTGCATTTAACATAAATGGGGAGGATTCTCCTTAACTGTAGTCTTGAGCATAGCAGAAACATTACTTTGCACCCCCGAAGTAGAAATTTAATAGCCTTTGTTTTTTGTAGGACGGAGGAATATAAAGAAACGCAAGAAGAAGATAAACCAATTGAAGTATGTATAACTTATGTTACGACCGTACCTCGGCAAGAAATCTTCCTTTCCCTCTATTTAGACAGTGAGAATGTTATTATCGGCTTTCAAGATTCAGTGTAAAAGTAATAAAGGAGAAGCTTTCAAAATAGAAGTTCGGCTGGGAGTGAGATTTACTAGAAACTCAACTTTCTAAAGAGAGGGAGAGAGGCGTCTATGTAGAAGTGGATTTAAAAAAGAGTGGAAGCTTTAGAGCTTTTGTGAGTATTGTAACCGGAATTTCATAGTGTATCTTCCCAATTGCAAGAGGACTAAGAGCTATAATGGAAAAGAACTTTGTAAGACGATAAATAAAAGCAATTCAACATTATGCTTTGTGACTAGCGCTTTTCGTCAGTGATTTGATGTCAGGAGAAAAATATAACTTTTATGTTACGTGCAGTTGAATACAGGAATTGCACCCTATTAAAAAGCTAACCATTCCCAAGTCAGCGCTAACTTAAGGTAACCGAAACGCTACTCAGGCTAGCCGGAGTGCTGTACTGTTCAGGCTAACCAAAGTGGTACTCAGGCTAACCGGAGTACATGTATTTCTGTATTTTGCCGCAACTTTTATGTTAAGCGCTGACTTATTGTTTTCGGGTTTCAGACTGCTAGAAGCCTTCCTAGTTAAACGTGATTTCGCAAATCGTCATATTTTCTGTTTCTCGCTTTACTGTAACAACTACCTAACACGTCGTCACTTGCTTGTTCTAGACTTACACGCCCGAGGAAAAACCCGTTCCAAAGAAACTTCACACCAGCATGTTAGCTGCTTTCCAAAAGGTTCACGATGAGCCAGTGCAGCTTCGTCGAGCAAAAAGTGAGAAGCGCGTCCGACCAAAGAGTATTGGGAACGTGGATCTACTGAGGTGGCAAGATGACTCGAGTCTTCACCAGCCCTCTTCGGACGCGTCGCAGAAGGGGAAGACTGGGCGCCAACCAAGACCCAAGAGTATTGCATTTTAAGCAACGTATGTTTGCTTATAGCTGCGAAACTATTACGTTATAACAATTATAGGTTGAATTGTTTACAATAGCTAGAATATCACGATAGAAGTGGCTTTGTCTTTCAATTGAAAATTGTGGTCGGACGTAAAGGCAATGAATCGAAATTTGGTTGATTTGTTGTCATGTCGACGAGTCTTAGAAAAAGAGAGTAATATAAGGGACAAGCAGCATCTGAAGTTTAGAGATCCATTTTCTTTAACCTCCTTCGTTTTATCACACACTTTTCATGTCATCCCGTTCAAGGTGGTTTTCTTAAGAGTAATCACAGTGTAATTGCGAACTCAATTTTTTTTGGGGGGGGGACGGGGGGGAGAGGGGGGGAGGGCAATCATTTATATCTTGGCTGGGGAGTTGTTTCACATTGGCAGGCATGGCATGCGTAGTACAAAGAGTTTCCAACCCACCCCACCTCCCTGATATGGTGCGGTTATGACGTCACCCGCACCATGATGATCAATATTGACAAAACAGATTTCTCGTGAACTTCTTTTGTGAATGCCACCTACATGGCTGCCATGTTTTTTTTCCCATTTCAAGTTCTATTTAGGATTGAGTCCATCTCATTAGTGAAACGGCAAGAGTGATTTAAGTTTGGGGCGATACATTTGAGTCCAATTTGGTGCCAAGGTGAAAAGGCATCTTTGTCAGGAATAGAACTTGTGCCACTTTACCATAGCCTAAGGCTGACAACACATCTAAGGAATAACAATGTGTAAAATGTAGACGATTACGGTTTTAATACACTTAAATACAATTTAATGTGGTATGCACCGAATGTTACCCTTAAATCAACATTATACACCATTACAAAGTGCCATATACAAAGCATTGGATACTAAAATCAAGTTGTAGTTAGTGCAAAGAATTTGCTGTACGCTTTGGGTCGTATCAAAAGTTCCATTTTTGTAGAATTTATAAAGAAAAGTTTATTATACGATTATGATGTAGTTTTGAAAGAATTGTTAAACATTGGGTTCGTTTGGAAGTTTTGTAATTTAAATCCTTAAGAGTCAAAAGGCAGATAATTTTGTCGGGTGAATTTGAAACTTCAAAGCCACCATGAACTTGGAACATCGGCTCAAAGATGAAGAAATATTCACAAAAACGTAAATAATGTTTGAAAAAAAATTATGCACTCGTAGTAAATAATAAAGAAGTATGTTCATATTGGCACCAAAGTCGTATCAAGTCTTTTGCAATCCCCGGCTGACTCGAACATAAGCTGTATCTACCAGAAATGTTGGTAAGTGTTTTTAAAAACGTCAGTGCAGCTACAAATCACAATTCTAAGGAACGTGAACGCCCTTCTTCGACACAAGGGCCATAAATCGAACTGTGCTAGACCGTGTTTCGTAATAATAGCGAGGAATTTTGAATTCGCTTCTAATTATTATTTTAGAAACCTGTACTAATCCGAACGCCTCAACTGAATGTGGACATAACATGGTTATTTGGTAAGGTCGAGGCAGTGGTTGATGGTTCCATTTTCTTGTATGAATTGTTATTGGTAGATGACCTTTTGGGAGTGAAATCTAGTTTATGCCACCATATTGGTTGAGGTGTCAAGAACGCTAAATTGTTTAGATGCGCGGCAGTGAAGCTTTGATAACAATAAATTCATGCATAGGGGAGGCCTAAGAATAGAGCAAAGTGGATTCCCCCTTTCTTTTATTATAGGTATCTCGCCACGTTAGAGAGATTATCCTAAAGAAAACTAGGGCAATTAACGAAAACTTAAAATGATTCGTGTTCATAATAGTCTTGCTATTACTTTTCATTACACTGGTTCCGTTTTACAAATACCAATGGTGGGCTTGACTTTACATTTTCGTAAAATGGTTGGTTGGATTGAATACATAAACAAAATGAAATAGCTTTTTATTTGTAATTGCCTTGAACGTGAATTTTTGAAAGCCAAACTAGCTTGTACCAAACAAACTCACGTGAAAGAAACGGTGTCCGTGTTAACACATCCAAATTGTTATGAACATTATCCGGGCTACAGAAATTTCATTAACGCAATGTTTTGTAGGACTTAAACTAGTTACCTGTAAATTAATTCAAAAAGTTTGGAATAAACCATTGAATTCGTTAAGTTGTGCTGGTGGCTTTTCTCCATTCCCGTTTCATTTCTGCGCAAGCTATTCTTATGATCATGAAAGTCCGATGTCCATAAGAAATTTCAATCTTGCGAAAAAGCACTTCAAACTTTTTAAGTTAGTCGTTCGTAATCCGAGTCAATATTTTACGCCTTAACCATTCTTCCTTCTGTTTGTTTTATTATCACTTCTTTGGTATTTTTCTATATTAGTAAATTAGTATTTCGAGGTCTTCTTGATGTAAAAGTAATTTTGCCCATCGCTAAAATCACTTCATATATCTTAGAATACCATAGCGCCCTTGTGTCACCTATATTGCCCAAGCCCTGCATTCTGATGCATCGGCGCATTCTCGCATTAACT